TGCATATATCTCTATACTCTGATGTCGTATTGACAAACGGTTTAATGAGTTAGAAAGTGAACGCATAGAGATTCAATTTGATGGGTGTAACACCCCATACTTCTAAGTATATTGGGAGAAAAGCACAGTTACATCCGACCCAAATTTTCAGTAAAACTTATAAACGTAACTTGTGATGGCTTTTATCGATTTTTATTCTGCAACTCACTTGACTTCAAACATAACACACGATTATCATACAGCTAACATAACTCATAACATAACTTTTTTATCAAGTTAAGCACCCTACTCTCACCCCAAAAGTACATGTTATCACATTCCCAACTTGTCGACTTTTGACGAAATCTTATTTTCTTCAATTACTTAGCTTCTTAAACCTTCCAACCCTCTTTGTACTTGTTGTTCATGATCTTCAATGCATGTAACATCCGAGGTAACATGATAACTTATTTTATTTCCAAAGATGATCTCATTTTTGGTCTTACATCAATTGACTTAAGACGTACCCTTATGTACGAAAACATGGGGTGTAACAGCTAGACAGGTACCTTTTAAGTCCATCAGTGCCTGTTGGCATTCCGGAGTCTATACGAAATCCTTCTTATTTTTAAAAAGTGAAAAGAAGTGATGACACTTTTCCGAAGACCACGAGATGAACCTGCTTAGAGCCGCCAATCTACCGGTCAATCTCTGTACTTCCTTCATGCTTGTCAATTGGTTCGCGATATCCTCGACAACTTTGATTTTATTGGGGATTACTTCGATCCCTCTTTGAAAGACCAGAAACCCCAAGAACTTACCGGAACCCACTCCAAAGGCATACTTCTCTAAGTTGAGCTTCATATTGTACTTTCTCAGAATGTTAAACATCTCTTGGAGATATTTCATATGATCTCTTGCATTAAGAGACTTAACTAACATGTCGTCAATATAAACTTCCATTGTCTTACCTATCTGTTTTTCAAACATCTTATAAACAAGCCTCTACTAAGCGGCTCCAGCATTTTTAAGCCCAAAATACACCACATTATAGGAATATGTGTCAAAATTTGTGACGAAAGAAGTCTTCTCTTGTTATTTCGGGTCCATCCTAATTTGATTATACCCAGAATAAGCATCAAGAAAATATATTAACTCATGCCCGACCATAGAATCAATCAACTGATCAATGTTTGGCAACGGGAAAGAGTCTTTAGGGCATGCCTTATTTCAATATTTATAATCTACACACATTCCAAATTTATTATTCTTTTTAGATATTACCACTACGTTAGCTACACAATCAGGGAAATTTACCTCCCGAATTGAACCTATATTAAGTAACCAGGTTACCTCTTCCTTAATAAACTTGTTTTTAACTTCTGCTATTGGTCGTTTCTCTGTCTTATCGGAGGGAACTCAGGATCCCGAATCAGCTTATGGACCACCACCTCTAATAGAGTACCTGTCATATATGAATGCGATCATGCAAAAAACAATAAACGTTAAATTTAAGAAAATCCATTATTTTTAACCTGAGTTCGAGACTCAACCGCGTCCCTAAATGGAATTTTCTTTCCAAAAATTCTTCGAACAAGGCCACTTGTTTGAGCACTTCTGTTGTTGACTTAGTCGCATCCATCTCCTCCAATACCTGAAAAGACCTCGGTACCTGATGTAATTCCGATGGTTCCTCGTCTTTATCATCTTCAATTGAAATGGAAGAAGGCATAGGTTCTTGTAGTTGCTATTTGCTCGTTTCTTTTCCCTTGCTAATGAAAATGATTACTGCGTTCATCTCCCTTTTAGCTGCTTTATCTCTTTTGATTTTCTTGATCCCTTCAAGTGTCAGAAAATTCAACAGTTGATGGTATGTAGAAGGCATGGTCTTCATTTCTTGTATCCAAGGCCTTCCGAGGATTACATTATTGCCCATGTCGCCATCTACCACTTCGAACAGGGTGGTCTTTGTGACTCCTTCGGCATATGTGGGAGCAAAATTTCTCCTCGGGTTGTCACACTTGTTAAATTGAAGCTAGCTAGAATATTTGTCGCCGAAATGATGTTCCCAATTAACTTCGCTTGCTAAAAAACTCTCCATTATATGATGTTGGCCGAACTTCCTGGAACAACCAAAGCACGCTTAATTTTAAAATTTGAAATATTAAGAGAAATCACCAAAGCATCATTGTATGGTAGAAGAAGTCAATCAACATCTTTCTATGTGAAGGTGATGTCATTTTTTGAGACTTCTCGGATCCTCTTACCATGAGTCATCGATATCTTCATCTTCTTTGCTGCAGAAAATGTCACCCCATAGACTTAGTCTCTTCTGAAGATCATGTTGATTGTCATCCGAGGTGACCCTGCTACAGGCTTTGATGGCTCTGCATTATATCGATTTCTCCCATAGTTGTTCTTGGTGTGGTCTCTTAAAAACTCTTTGAGGTGACCATTCTTCAACAACTTTGCCACCTCTTCTCGAAGGTGTCGATAGTCCCCAGTCCTATGGCGGTGATTTTCATGGAATTCACACCATAGATTAGAATCACTTTGGCTAGGATCCGATCGAATTGGTTTTAGGAACCTAGCTTCTTTAATATTTCTCATGGCCGACACCAATTCCACCATGGTGGTATAAAAATTATTGTGGGAATAACCTGGGATATGATGAATCTAGGGACCCTAATGCCTCTTTCTCCTGCAATGATCTACTACTCCGACCACGATCTACCATTCTATTGGAAACAAACCTATCTGATGACTGGAAACCTTTATTACCACGCCCATTTTACCTCTTGTAATGCTGAAAATGACTTCTAGAGGACCTCTGATCTGCGTCAAAATCATTCTTGAATTAATCTTGATTCCGGTCACAATTCCGTCCTTTGGAAGATACCGAGGATCCAAGTTGATCATCTTCTATTTTGATCTTTGACTCATAGCGGTTGGGAACATCTGTAGTTGCTTGAAATTCTAGCAAGATTTCCTTTAATTTTCGGGAGGCGTCAAAACTCAACGGGTTGAGACCCTTTGTAAATGCCTCCGCTACCCACTCATCCGGTATTGCTGGTAAATATCCTTTCTTTTTGGAACCGGATCATGAACTCCCACAATAGTTCAAATTCTCCTCGAGATATTTTAATTATAGCCGGCTTCCTTGCATGGACCTTTCTTGCTCCAACATGAGCTTTAATAAATGAATCTGCAAGCATTTCAAAAGAATCAATAGAATGCTCAGGTAAGAGGCAATATCAAGTTAAGGTACCCTTCTTAAAGGTTTCCCCAAACTTATTCAACAAAACTGATTCGATCTCATGCGGGTCCAAGTCGTTTCCCTTTACTGCCGTAGTGTAGGATGTGATGTGCTCTAGTGGATCCGAAGTCCCATCACATTTCAGTATATCTAGCATCTTAAACCTCTTTGGGATCAAGTCTGGTGTCGTACTTAGTTTAAATGGCAACTGCATATAATTCTTTGAATCTGGTCCCTTTTACACCAGCGTTGCTATCTGGATCTGATCCATCCGAGCATGAAATTCCTTTGCATTCTAATCCATTCGTTCATTCATTTCATTTATGAATCTCATGATCTCTGTTTGAAAGGTTCATGTAAGTTATTGTTACCAGAACAACTATCGGTACCTCCAACCTTGTCGAAATCGACCTCCTCAGGAGTGTTGTTATCGGTTCTTTGAACTATTTGATTTGCGGGAATACAAGGAGGAATTGGAGCCCTTCCACTGGCATTATTGGAAGCCCCAATAACGCGTGCTTCAATTCTGTCATCACCCAATCTTGCCTTAAGAGGTGATCCATAATCGCTTTTTATTGTTCTCTCAAGAGTTTGATTGTTTCAACAACATGCTCATCCTCCGCATCATCAGGAGTTTTGCCCCGCACATGTCGAGGATACTAACCTTCGCGAACTGGGGTTTGCTTCATGCCCTTCGTTGCGGGTTTTGCTGGTTGAATCATCACGCTGGAACACATCTTCAGTTCATTGTGTGCTCCAACATTGTAAATATTATTGACATCATTAGCTGCCATATCTAATTTTTCTTTTACTAAGGAAGGAAACAAAATTCGCTAGTAACAAATGAATGGATCAAAGCAATTACACAATTATAAATGCTCCAAGGTGAGCGCCAAACTGTTTACTAGTAAAATAGTACAGTTAAATTTATAGCATCATTTATAGACAAATGTATCAATTTGACACAAAGATCTCAACTAAATAAGAGCGAAAATAAGAGTAAGAAATAAAATTAATGGAAATACAAGCCTAGATATGGACTTAGCCTTTCTAGTGACAAAAGCGAGAATAATATTCAAGAATAAAGACAGAGAATAATGTTATGAAATGAGAGCAGAATATATCTTTTTTTTGTGTACAAAATATTTCTTGTCTATAATGAATGTTAATTCTCCTGTTTATCTATTTAGGGAGACAAGACCCCAAAATCAAGCTCCTCTTGAATAAGAATAAAACCATCATTGATGGCTGCGTAACGGTTGATTCTAAATGTAGATATTCTATGTAACGGCCGCTAATTGAATGCTACCTGATGTCAATACTTTGAATCTTTGTTGTCGACTACTCTATCTTCGGGACTCATCCAACACTGGTCACATGCTGGCAACCGATATTGACTATTTGTTGACTCACATCCTACCTGTTTTCAGCTCCACGTGTCATCTCTTCATTCGTCCAATTGTCACTAACCAAATTTTACCGTATACAATTTCAAAACCATTGAATAGAAAAAAAAAGATTATTTAACATGTACTTTCTCTCTGTTAGTTCGTTCTTGATTTTTTTTTACTTTGCCTTTTATTAGAGACTTCAACGTGGGCGTAGAGTAAATAAGAAAAAAGGAGGAGCATGGGAAAGGAAGCGGGAATGAAAATATTGGTGAAGCCAATAGGTTAAAGAGAAAATTGCTGCGAAAAATAAGGGTGACTAATAATTATAGAAATTGTAAATTGCTACTATCATTTTATTCAGAATCATTATTTTAGAGAATTCTGAAAAATCATTAACTTCTAACCCAACTATTCCAACCTCCTCCTCCTCAAAATGGCGTTCCCTATTTTCGCCACAAGCTGTTGAATTCAGAAACCTTTCCGGGGCCTACAATAAATTTGCTTCTCGCTTCCTTCTATTAATTTAGGCCTCCCCGACGGTGTTCACCCTGTTCTGGTATTTGCAAAATTTGAAAATTTGTTTTTGGCTTCGTTTTGTGTTTAATTAGTCAAGCATTTTATTTATTCGAATTTAATTGTGCCAATTAATTTTATTTAATGGATTGTATTGACTGATGATATTAATTCCACACACACAAAAAAAAGAAAAAAAGAAGACGATATGTACGGATAAATCGTTTTCTTCATTTTGCTTACATTTTGTATGAATTGCTAGGCATTTTTGTTTTTCCATATTCTTAATTACTTCCATTATGATTATTCATAAAAAGAAACGTACCACAAAGATAGAGCTGTCAATATGGGCCAGTCCGGGCTAGCCCAGCCCAGCCACTTGGGCTTTAGCAATTGACGGGCTGGGCTGGGCTAGCCCACCATTTTGATGAGCCTTATAATGGTCAGTCCACCCCAACCATATGTGGGTCGCGGGCCCCCACGGGCCGGCCCATATCATTTTAAAAAATATAATTTTATATTTTTTCTTTAAGTTCTGACATACAAAAAGATAATTATTTAAAAGTTAAAAAATATCTTATTGGAAAAAATTCGCAAAACTTAATAACTTTTTATATTGTTCCAATTTATCACAATAAATACTAAAAAAAGTAAAAGACAAAACTATATTTCATTCACTAAAAATCAAAACTTAAAACAAACTATTCAAGAGAACGTTCATGATGCTTATGAGATATCCAACACATCATCTTCATCAAACACATTTGAATCCGCTTGTGACAAGGTTGTCTTAACATCTTCACTTTCATCTACAATGCATATGCAATATTAATTAGTTAAATATTAAAAATAATTAAATTTTAAAAATTAATAATATTTAAATTCACATAATAAAATATTACCAGTTTAAGTTCGGGAAAACCTGTGCAGCCAATTTCAAGTAGTAACAAGTGTTTGGACATTTTCATAATAAAATGCAACTTTTGTACATTGTAAGAACACGCCACCAATGCTAAATGTTGATTCTGATGGTACAATGGTAATAAGAATGCTAAGTACATCTCGCACCATCATTGAAAGATCGTGATTTTCTAGAATGGTCCTTCCAATACATGACACCATCATCTCTTGAAACTTCTCAAGATCAAGTTTTGGTTCCTCTTAGTAAATATCCAATTCTGACTTTCCATCTCTAAAGGCAGTATACTTTTTATTTTTTATATTTTAAATAAATATTTTATTAGGCCCACGGGCCGGGCCGGCCCAGCCTCACGGGCCACGGGCTTACTCGGACCGGGCTTAAAAGCCTCGTTTTTTAACGGGCTCCAAAAATTCTAGCCCAGCCCTGCTAAATCACGGGCTGGACTGGGCTGGCCCAACGGGCCAAGCCCATATTGACGGCTCTACACAAAGAAGACATGAAATGATCTCTTATAGGAGTAATTTTCAATTCTTCTACTACAATACTGTATTTGATTATTGATTCAGGGTGAAATTGTTTTTCTTCCGCTATTCAAAATCCAATAATAATTTTACTTATAATACCAATACTTGTGACCCTTTTAAGTTCCCCAAGATTTTGTGCGAGTCAGTGAGAAAGCATCTTAAGGAAATTCCTATCTTTTCCCATGCATATTGTGACAACTGAGATACAAGAAATTAAAGCATAATATTTTTGAATAAATGAACTTTATCTTCAACTTATTTGCTGAGTTTCTCCTTTTTGAATCGAAAGTGCAACACAAAGGTGTCTTTCAAATAAAAAACATTAAAGAAAGAAAAGCAATTAGCTTTGTGCCACCGGCACACGTCCTTGAATATGTATTACAATATAAAAAAGATGGCTTTATTTGGCAAAATGATTGCATTAGCTGCCGATCATGTGATGGAAAGAGGCTTTTCCTCCTTGGCATATCATGACCAATTATATGCTATTAACATGTCACATGGATTGAAGCATTAAAATAATACTCCTCCTACGTCTGTATTTGCTTTGGTACTCTTACTATGACATTCATCTGATTTTCTGAATAGTAAATTTTATTAAAAGAACTTAAAAAATGATGTAGGAGTTCATATATATAGTTAAATGCGTTGTCCCTGAATTCCTCATTCTTTTTTTAAATGAAAGGAATATTAAGGAAATCAGAGTCGAAGAACAATGTCTAGACACAATACGCTCTCCAGATTTTCAAATTACCGATCAAATGAGTGTTAGGGAATCTAACTTTTAATAATATTGAGTTGAGACGTGGAGTGACATGGAAAATAAAAATATATATATATAGCTGAGTCCAATCTTATTATTATTATTATTATTATTATTATTATTATTATTATTATTATTATTATTATTATTATTATTACTATTATTATTATTATTATTATTATTATTATTATTATTATTATTATTATTATTATTATTATTATTATTATTAAACATAGTTTATCTGTCACCTTTCTTTAGTTTCAAAGTTTAATCGGCGCATGTGTAGACATTTGAAAGGGAATCAGCCTGTTGCATGCATAAGTGGTGATAATTAACGTAAACTTTTATAGCTAACTTTTCCGTGTCAGAATCCGGCAGCCAAGAAAATTGAAAATGAAACTGAAACTGACACCTTATGTATGTTTTTTCCTTAATAAAATGCAGCTAAAACCAAGATCCGATGAGTCAAATTTTCCAAGAGCCTAAGGGCTTAAAACCAATGCCAGCTGGATTTTCTTCTCATCATCAATCTTGCCGTGGTAAGCAAAGGAAAATGGATGAGCAAGGAGGAAACAAAGTGACTGGAATTAAGCAGATTGTAAGACTGAAAGAATTTCTAAGCAAATGGCAAAATGCCACACTTGGCCCCAAGGGAAACAACAACGACAACAATAATAATCTTGGATCATCGTCGAAACGCAGTAGCAATTCCCCTGGAGGAATATCACCTTCGATTAGTATGAGGCTAAGGAACTACAATATATATTGTGATTCGGATGAGGAGAGTTGTCAAAGTCCAGAGCCACCCCATGGTGTCCCTAGAGGCTATTTGGCTGTTTATGTTGGACCAGAGCTTCGGAGGTTTATAATTCCCACAAGCTATCTTAGTGATCCATTGTTCAAATTGTTGCTTGAAAAAGTTGAGGAAGAGTTTGGGTTTGATCATACTGGTGGACTCACTATACCTTGTGAAATTGAGACTTTCAAGTTCCTCATGCAGTGCATGGAGAATCATCAGAGAGATCAAGCTGCTGATCGTCATGACGTGGATTCTGGTTAGCTATTGTTTTTATTCTCACCTTTTCTTTTATTTACACTTCGATGGTTATGTTATAATTTTCTGCATTGCTTTAGGGAGTGAGTTATTGTCTCTTTATATAGTCATAAGTCATCCTTACCTCATAGGCTAAAATTTGGAGTTGAGTTAGATCTGATGTCCATTTTCAATCATGTGAGCTTGACTCATTCCTATTATTGGTTCTCCCTAATTGTACATCCAAGCTCAAGATAGGGGTCGACTTCTGACTTCATTCGACAGACTCTTCTCCTTCTATAAAGCGCGGGTAGCTTGTTTCCAAGCCACTGGCTGGAATTAGATAAGAAACAAGAGAGAGAAGCAGCTCAATTTTAAAGGTTAGACGCGATAGCCAGCGTGCAGAGGGAAATGTTCGGAGAAAAGCCCCGTCTCATGGTGCTTTTGTTAGGAGTTCCCCCTTTCCGGTATATTTTTACAAGTTCAAGCAAAACCGTAGAGAGAGCGGGCTACACCTAGTTTAGCCTATCCAACATCCGATTCAAAAAGAGCTTTTTTTGCTGATTTTCCTCTCTTTGTATAAAGTCAGTCAGACATGTAAGTTTAAGAAGGAATGCATTTGATTTTCCGATTCCTTCTTTCTGCTCTTCGCTTAGCTACACCGGCTTACAGATGCCTATGTCCTTCATGCATCTAGGAGTTCATACGAATAATGGCTAGCGGGATTTCGCATTCTATGTATATGGATGAAATACTACCTTTTATGCGATATATTAAATGTTGAACACTCTTATCGAAATTTCAGTTTCACAAGTAGCTCTAGATCATGTTCAGTCATACTCATGTGGGTGGAGTGGGAGTTAGAATGTCTCACAATGTTGAGGGAAGGACTATCGTCTCCATATATGGTCTTTAGCAATGATCGTCTTTTGAGCTAATTTTTTGGTAAAGTCCATTTCATACATGGCCATCCTCCATTTTAACATATAAACCTTGACGGTTTTGATGCAGCTGGATCTTCGCCAGTTGAGGAATGAGTAATTACCATGGTCGTAGTGATGATTGAATGTTTAGAGCTGAGTAATTTATTTTTCTTATTTTTCTTCTTCTGGTTAAAAGATTAGAAGGTCTCATTGTACTTGTATACAATTTCATCATTTCTATTCTACACTTATCCCTCTGAGCGTTCAAAGCTGACTCTGAAGGAGGAAAAGAAAGAAGGAGGGCCTAGGTAGTTATCTTCAGAAGGTTCATTGGCAAAAAAGAGAAAGCAGAAACCGTTGACCCTTTAATTTCTAGGTATTACCTACCAGAATTTATGAAAATCAAACTTGACAAAATACTGTATTCCTAGGATTGCCAATTTGTATTGGAATAACACTTTAATATTGTAAATTATTATCTTTGGTTTGTACAATATTTATCATGTCATATCTACAACATTGCATGCATTGTATTGCGAGGCCCTTATAGTACCGGAGTAATATTTAATTGAGAAGGCTAATGCTCTAGAATCATAACAAGAACCTTTTTTTTTTGCATTCAAACTAATTGACAGTATGGCAGTAAATATCAGTTTTTGCACTGCTACATTTATTTGAGGCAATTTGTCACAAAGATGTAGAAAGAGTTTTATCAAACAATAGGTACGGAGAGTTCTATTAAAAATGAAAGATCAATTCGTCTGTGCGCTAGGATAAGATTGTGTAATCTTAGTCTTAGTTCATAAGTAACATGCACATGTTTCCAAGCTCACAGGCACAATATCTGTGTAAAATAATTGACAGACTTTTAAACTAAAACTGCTGAAGTACAATTCTTATTAATGCGTTTGCTAAGGGATTCACTTGGATAATTGGATGTAAGACATTACTCTCTTCATCCAATTTATGTAGTATTTTTTGCTTCTCGGAAAGTAAGTTGCAATTCATTTCATGTTAATTAATATATATATATATTTTAATACGTTGGTTAAACTTCATATGGTTTGAATCCTGAAAAACAAAAATTATCATATAAATTAAGATAGAGAAAGTATAATATATAATTGTAACTATATCGATTTGTCTTGTTTAGATACTAGAGGAGTGCCGTCGGAAGATCCTAAATAAGTTTTATGAATCTAGTACTAATCATGCCGAACTATGCCTTATAAAAAGGACTTAGTGGTCGATGCAAATCTAATTCGACTTACAAGTCAGGAGTCGAATCCCCAAGAAATTAACCTACTAATCACAACAACTAGTTTTGCAAGAATTCAAGTAATCAATCTTCAGAAACTTTAAATAATAACTTGAGTGGTTACTAACTAAGAGCAAAGTAATTAAAATGTTGTAAATTTTTAACTAACAGAGTAAATGTTATAAACAAGATTGGAAAAGTCTAGGATTAAGATTTTCCTAATTATTGAAGTCTTCCCCACTACGTTTCCTATAAATTTGCCTAAGTATTTTCTACCAATCGTGAGTACTTTGGGTGTCGTAATTCTCTTCCGAGCAATTACAACAATTTACTAGACGTATTCTTCCGAACTACGCTAGCTGGCACTAATTCACCACTCACTACAATCGCACCAAGCAGGTTTCATTATTCCTAACCCTACTTTTAAACCCTCCGTGTATTGATTCCTCAAATACGTTAGGAGTGATGTTGTTGAACAACAACCTAAATGCGTACCCTTATCCAAGTAGTACACACTAAATAAGTACAGTTAATTGAGAACTCTTCAATTAACAACAATGAACATGCAGTCGAACAAGCAGAGACAAATCAATGGCAAATTTATAATAAACACAGTGTGTTGGCCCAGGAACAGGTAAAGTTTTGAAGAATGACAAATGAACTCAGTCATGGACCAGGTCCATCTGGTGAAGCACAATCTTGATCTAAACATGTGAGATGCACGTGAAGGAGATGAGCGTGAAGAAGATAAGTCATCCACAATATCTCGTGATCTGATCAAAAAGGTTGCATATTGGATAAGGGGAGAAGGTCTCCTTATATGAAGAGAACATAATCCGGATAAAAGATAGTGTTGGAGTTTGAGATCTTCAAGGACTCAACTACGATAGAAGATCAGCAATTGAGTCCCAATGAAACTCTGATTACTATCCCATTAAATGACAGTGATTGGTCTCTTTTACAGATATTGCACAAATGCAGAAGTTAAACTAAATTGAAAGCAAAAGAGCAAAGCGATTTTGTAAGCAATTTATGTGAGATTTGAGTGTGCACTCCTGAAGCTACTTGAACGAGATAGAAGAACCAACTCCATTGTGTTTTTTCTTATTCTAGTTCAATTGTAGTAGGTGGTTTAAAGTTGTACCTTTCTAGCTTTCATAGAAGCAATTGTATTAGGTACTTTGAGAGTTCAAGTTATAGGCTAACTTGAAGTTGTCGCAACAGTTGAGGTTGTGTGCTACAACGAGATTAGAGTTAATCCTTAGGTTTACAAAGAGTTTTGTAAATGCTGTTTTGGCTCAGTGATTTTAGTGGAAGTTTTGGAAAATCCTACTGAGTAGTAGATCGTCGTTTTTTCACCTTTTGAGCCAGGTATTTTCCACGTAAAATCTCTGTGTTCTTTATTTTATGTACTTTTAATTCCGCAAACAATAGTAGTTAGAACACCTAGAAGAACCTGGTTCTTCAAGATCGAAAATTGGGTACCACACAAATCACCCCCTTTTTGTGTGGTATTGACACTTAAAACATCAATTGGTATCAGAGCGGGTTATCTTTGAAGAGGCTAACACCTTAGGAAAAGATCAACATGAGTGCACCACCTGGGAACTGGGTAGGGCAATCCATTGCTAGGCCTCCACTTTTCAATGGTCAGTACTATTCTTCATGGAAGAACATGATGAGGGATCACATAATAGGAGAAGACTATGAACTCTGGGACATAGTCACTAATGATCCTCTAGCAACTACAAAGAAGAATGCTGAAGGAGTGGATGTGCCAAAGACAAGGGCTGACTGCACTGCTGAAGACCTGAAGAAGTGGGAGAAAAATGCCAAGACCAAGAAATGGCTTGTATGTGGACTATGTCCAGATGAGTACAATAGAATTCCAAGCTGTACTACTGCTAAGGAAATCTGGGACACTTTGCAAGTGGCTCATGAAGGAACACCTCAAGTGAAGAGGTCCATAGGAACAATGTTGTACTCCTAGTATGAGAACTTCACCATGAAGGAAGGAGAAACCATCCAAGAGAAGTATACAAGGTCCACCATATTGACAAATGAACTTAAATCTCTTGGAAGGATTATTCTCGAAGAAGACAAAGTTGAGAAGATTTTGACCAGGGTTTTGCCACTCTCTTGGGAAAGCAAAATCACTGCTATTCAGGAATCAAAGAACATTACTACCCTCAAGCTGGATGAACTAATAGGAAACCTTGCCTCCTATGAACTGAGAAGGCAGACCATGAAAATGGATGCACCCAAGAAGGAAAGAAGTCTGACTCTCAAAATTGTTGAAGGTTCAGATCTGGAGGATGATGAAATGGCCTTGATCACTAGAAATTTCAAAAATTACTTGATGAGAGGAAAGGGTTCTTCAAGAGTTACAACCTTCAACAAACCAAGGTCTCCTGAGAAACAGACCAATAAGGGCTGCTACAAGTGTAGTAAGACTGATCACATAATCAAGAACTGCCCTCAATGGGAAATTGAGTGGAAGAAGGAAGGGGCTAAACAAAGGAGCAGGAAGAAGGAACATGTTCCACCAAAAAGGAACATAGGATCAACAAAGGCTATGGTTGCTGCCTGGGAGAAACATCAGATGAGGACTCAGAAGATGAAGCTGGAGATGAACAAGCTCTTATGGCCATAGGAGAATCAAATGATGAACAAGAGGTAAGTATTCTTCATCTCAAAGACAAGATTAAATTCCTGTCTAAAGAAAGGTTGTCTGAGCTATTGCAAGATTTCATTAATAAGTTTGAGATAATTAACAATGAAAAGGAAGAGCTGTCTAGGGAATGTATGACCCTAAAAGTTAAGTACAAAAATCTAGAGTCTAGGGCAAATAAGAGTGAAAGTGAAAATAATGAGTTAAAGAACCAGGTTCTTGAACTTTACACTGGTGTTAGAACTTAGGTTTGAGAACTTAAAACTGAAACTAGGAACAGGAAAGAAGAAAGCTGATCACACTCATCTCACCCTAGAAGAAAAATTAGGAAAAATGAAGGATGAGCTATACAGGAAAGATGAGTAGATAAGAGTACTAAAAGAAAATCTAGGGAAGGTAAAACATGAACTAGACAGAACTTACAAATGGAAAAAGGCTTCTGATGCACTCTCCTGGCTACACGAACATCACAGTAACAACAAAAGAGGACTTGGTTATGGGACTCAAGCACCTAAGTGAGATCCTAAAAGCAAGTACCTCACTCCTCCTGAAAACAAAATTTGCACACATTGTGGCAAGACTGGCCATTACAAAAATGAAAGTAATGCAAAAGAAAAGGCCAGTCAAAAGAACAAAACTTTTGTTCACGAAAAAAATAGGCTGCCTGGGTGGGCTAGAAGGAATCTGATTTATCCCTTTGGGTCCTAATACTAACCCCTAATTTCTTTTTGTAGGTCCAAGTGAAGGGAAGCAGTCAAATATGGTACATGGATAGTGGTTTCTCAAAACATATGACTGGAAACAAGAACCAGTTCCTTTCACTTAAGGAATTAAAGGGAGGCAATGTCTCCTTTGGAAATGGAAAGAAAGGTGAGATCATTGGGGTTGGAAAGTTAGGTAAGAAAGACTCTCACTCTATTGAGAATGTCTACTTGATAGATGGCTTAAAATATAGTCTGATCAGTGTGTCACAATTGTGTGACAGAGGTAACCTTGTAGCATTCACCTCCACAAAATGCTTTGTGATTAATCTTACCACTAACAAGATTATTTTGCACGGAAAGAGAGTTAACAATATCTACATTGTAGATTTGTCCACTCTCTCAGAAAATGAACTAACTTGTCTAAGTAAGCTGGAAAATGATCCCCTCCTATGGCACAAAAGACTTGGTCATGCCAGTCTGAATCAGTTGAACAAATTAGTCTCCAAGGACTTGGTGATAGGGTTACCTAACATCAAGTTCAAGGAAGACAAAGTTTGCGAGGCCTGTGCAAGGGGGAAGCATGTAAGATCATCCTTCAAAAGCAAGAAAATGGTAAGCACAACCAAGTTGTTGGAACTGGTCCATATGGATCTCTGTGGTCTAATGAGAACCATAAGCAGAGGTGGAAAGAAATATGTAATGGTCCTTGTTGATGATTATTCTAGATTTACCTGGGTTCTATTTCTAACTTCTAAAGACGAAGCATTTGACATGTTTACTGCATTTGTTAGAAAAACTCAGAAACAATTAGGAAATCAACTTGCATCTATTAGGTTTGATCATGGAACTGAATTTGAAAATGC